AATTATGTTAGTATAAATGTGTTAGCTAGATACTATATTAATTATTTTACAAGCTAACCCTAACATGCTCATATTTAATGTTCTGGCTAAAAAAAAGGTCGATTAAAAGATATGAAAAATAGATTATAACTCTATTGTTTAATTTTTAGACTTAACGCTGACTAATAGAGGTGAAAAATAGACGATAACTTGCATTTTAGGCTTAAACCGACGGAGCCTGTTAAAATAACTCATTTAATATCTTTGTCCCGTGCATCGCACGGGGTACGTACTAGTTAGCAGAAAAATGAAAAGAAAAAAAAAAAATGGCATAATAATGGGATGTGATTTCATTTGTACAAAATCTTGTCTGAAACCGTCTTCACATTACATTAGGTTGATCCGTGAAAAAAATATACTGTAAAATGTCACTTTTTTTTTTTTTGTTTTTAAATATAAGATGCAAGTATGTAAGTTGCAATTATAATATAAAATGTCATACTTTTTGTTAGTATGAGATGAGATGAAAGTATGCAAGTTGCAACTCCACATTTAGCCCGGAAATATCTAAGAAAATATATTAATATTGAAGCATAATAGAGGCTTGTAGGAAAGTGTTATACTATATAGAACATGGGAATAAGAGTTAAATAATAAAATATGAAACATGATACATGTTGGTAGGAAAGTGTTATAATATTATAATAAATAATATTTTCTATAAAATCAATATAATAAAATGTATCTAATGATAGAATATAGAATAAAATAATAAGAGATATCAAAGATGAAGCATATTGGATAATAGGATACATGATTGTAGGAAAGTGTTATAATATTATAATGATTGATATTTTCTGTAGAATCAATATATTAAAATGTATTTGTAAAAAAAAATTATAATAAAATGTATTACTGTTTTAGAGACAGATGTTTGCTTTTGTCCAAGATTTGAGAGAAAATTAAATTCTTCTTGAGAGATTTGGATAAGTTCAACAGGATTGTTAGTTAATTAATTAATTAAATATGCCTTAGTATTTTAGTGTTCAATTGTGCATAATATTATATGGGATCATAGGTTTTTTTTTAAAAAAAAAATTAAAAGAATATAAAATAATAGAATAATGTAAATAATCAATATTGATAGTCCGGTAAAAATGTAATATATGATACTATATAGGATACTTAAATAATATCTTTTAACATAAATATTGATAGTCTTGTAAAAATGTAACATATGATGATATATAGGATAATTAAATAAATATCTTGTATAGAATTAATATACTAACTAAAAAGAATATAGTATGTAATAATGCAATAGTATAACATAAATAATAGTATGTTGGTATAAGTATAAAATATGTATTTTATAGATTATAATCTTAGGTAAATAATAAAAATACTAACCATGTCTTAAAGATTTTACGAAGGTATTAATCATAGTCCTGAAAATTGGACCGGACCGGTCGGTTCAACCGGTTGGACCGGGAATCGGCCTTCATTCGGGTCCGGTTTGACCGATCAAATTGCCCAGTGATTGAACCGTCAAAAACTGTTCGAACCGGTCAAAAATTGGTTGAATCGGTGAATCGAGACCGGTTCGAATGGTTCAACGGTTCAAATTTTTGAATTTGAGATTAGTAGATTGTGAAGTGATTTAAATAGCACATCTTTATTATTTGCGTTTCCAATGTGAGATATGTTCTCTTGCTAAAATTATTGGGCTAATATGGGCCTTATAAGAAATATTGTACTCATTAAAAAATAGTAGTATTTTTTAAGGTGGACTATCAGTGGGCTATATTCTCAATTATTAAAAAATAAATAAGCAAATTATTGTTATTTGTTATGTATATTATTTTTATTTTTTAATTTTTAATCAATAATTAAAAAAATTAAAATGTGATTTAAATAAAATTACGGTTGTTTCTATTCTTTCTATTTTGTAACTTAAAATATATTAAAATTTTAAATATATAAAATAAAAAATGTTATAAACATTAATCAACATTATCGATTGTGTCTATTATTAGGTTATTATTTAAAGAAATGTCATACATTGTAAATTTATTAAAATTAATGATAAAATATACATAATTATATATTATGTATATAAAATTAACAAAAAAAATATATATTAATTAAACTGATTATTTGACCGATCAGTGAACCATTGAACCAGTAATTATACGAATCGATGACTAATTCAATTTTGAGAACCATGGTATTAATTCCTCCCCAACACACTTTTATCTCAATCTAGCTGCATACTTGTCCACGCAAATACCAAACCCTAGCAAACACTTTAAGAAAGGAATATATTTATTTTTTCTCGACTTCTTCGAAATGCAGGATAACCCACAGGGTTGTTAGTTTTTGCCTACCAACTGGAGCTTTCTCCACACCACTCCCATGAAGATACTCTATTGGGTTCTTAAGTACTCCTCTAATTTTGGAAGGGACCGTCTCCGGTCAGGTACTCATCGTACCTACCTAACATCAAGTACCCTTTTATCACTAATAGATTAACTCATAAATTAATATCAACCATTAGATTTAAGGTACAAGGTTTTTACGAGGCAAAAAGAATTTTGATCACCTCGTACCAACTTCGTACCGCCTTGCAAAAAACATATAATAACTTTACTCAATTAAAAATTAAAATTAAATTTAATAACTTATAAAATGATAATTCATGGAGCCATTGAATCGTTTGTATGGAGCCATCAATCACTTAATGTATTGATACCTGTCCAAAATATATTTATTGCAAGATTTGTGAATAACTGTGAATGACTGAATGAGCCGAGTCATCTGATGACTCCATAACAATTAACAAAACTATATTCTGAAGTAGTATATTTATATAATTTGTATAACAATACTTTAAATACAAAAACATATCATCACAACC